TTCAAGTGTAATGTATCAGTGAGGGAAATTTTAACGTCAAAGGTTGACCCGTGTTCGATTCAACCTTCGATTGGTGTCCACTTTGAAGTGAATAGGGGTGCAGATTAAGAGGGGTCTGTGCGTAGACCGTGTGACCAAAGGCGTTGTCAACAATTTCGATTAGTTTCGACACCTGCGTCGTAGCCTTCCGCTGTACACATTGTTTCAGTTAAACAGTTACTCGAGTGATGTGTAAACAAATGTCCCTTGTAGTTCGCGGTAAGGTTGCTAAAAAGCAACTCTCTGAAAATTGTCTGTTAATTAATTTGCTTCAAAATTAATATTTCAGTGAGATAACGAACTATGTTCAATAAGTAAAGAGGAGGAAGAGGCCTTTTAAGTTTTATTCTTTCAATTGATTTTGAAGTTTTTATTCTGAATTGGAAAAGAATGGAAATATCGAAAACTTTTTTAGATTCATCGTTATAAAAATCTCCATTTAAAAGAAGATTCAAAATGAATCGAATGATTAAGAAAGGGGGAAAAATCCAGATGTTGCAATTCATTTCAATCTTTAATGAAAAATTATTTTTTTTCGTTTAATTTCTAATATAATATAATTTCCTTAGTAATTTTAATAATTTTTAGAATACATGTATCTTCAATAAATATTTTATATATCTTTAAAATTATTGTAGAGAATAGTGTTGTGAAATTAAATAATTTATTACGATAAAAATTATTGTAAACATAAACAATATATTAATTTTTGCTACACACTACACTATACACACGCATTTCGAAACAATTCGATTCGATCAGATAATAAGATAAATTAATTTTAGATCCTATAACAATTGCAAACATTGTTAGCCATTGAAACGAAGATCATTGCAACAATAAAAATAATAAGTGGAATGAACTTCAGAGAATTGGAGATAATAAAGCGAATCAATTCTTCTCGTAATTCTCAGTTAAGAACAGTTAGAGAAGAGTTCTAATAATCTAATAACCGGTTCGATTAGCATGGACGTCTCTCAGCGTGGTTTGTTTCACTATGATTGATTCGATAATTTGATCGCTTATTGATTTCCGATAATCTGCCGCTCTCTTCCGCCACGAAACATATTAAACAACGATTAATCATGACCGTGTCAAGCGCGGAATTATTTTCGTAATAAAATGGATATGTATTAGCGTTTCGTGCATGCTGAAATTTATTGCACGTGCTAATTAGGGTGTGAGGTAATCTGGGTAAGATATCTGAATATATTTTTCAAGTCGAACGCGTAGCACTTACGAGAAATCGAATTTTTTTTCGTCTAAAAAAATGTGAGAAGTTCACTCGTGTCTTACATTTGAGTTTTGTTTGTAAAATTCATTTGATTTACGAGAAAAGATTCTTGTTTGTACAAAGAAGATTTATCAAGAAACATTGTATTTGAAATATTATAAATTATTACAAAATTATTTATTTGTAGTCAAATCATTCTGTTTTCACTTTTCAATTATTATATATAGTTTAACAATTTATATTCGATCAATTATCATCGATAGAAATCAATTTAGTTTAAGTGCAATAATTTAGAAACGTATATTGTAGCATGTACATAAGTTCAAAATTAATAATATTTTAATAAATTCTTTTATTACAATTATCTAATATTATATTTTTATACAATTTAATAATAAAATATTTTAATTTTTTAATTCGTTTAATTTCTCTTGATATTGTAATAATTTTCATAAATTTAGAATTATGAATAATGTATCCTTAAGTATTTATATAAATATTCATTTGTTTCAAAATTATTCTACATATATTATCGTACATACATAGAAAGCATATATATTGTTTTAATCAAATTATTAAAAGATGCTATTAAATTATGATCATAATAGCTTTATATTCTTGCGCTAACGTGCAGAATGCATATTAAAAAACGTGAAACAAATTATATCTTGACATTAAATCTAAAATTTAATATAAATTGGCATAAATTAATATAATTCGTATAAATTAATACATAGGCAATATATTAAATAAAAATAATTATCTCTTCTTCATTCTCCATTCAATTTCTCAACGATTTTTCCAAAAAAATATTCATTTTTCAGTATAAAACTCAGATACTGAAATATTATATAGTTAAAGATTGATCTAATATTTTATATTATGTGACGATTCCGTTATAACTTTTCCAAACGAATATACTTCATTTTCGACTTATTTTTATTAAATTATGATACAATAAAATTTTAAAATTGTTCGTACGCAGAAAATTTTGATTTCGTAGCATCTCTTGGTGTGTGCTTCTTGACCGGAAAACTTTACGCAGTGTCGATCGATCTAATTTCTCTTTGAGCCGAACGGAAAATCGACCTTGGATCTGATTCCTCTTTGAAGTGGAAATCAGGCGTTAATTCGATTTCACTTTGAAGCAAAGACAAGTATTTAGCACATGCGTGGACCAAGGTTACCAATTACCAAATACCCTAACGAATTCACAAATCAAGGAAATATCTAAACAATCTGAACGTTACACTGTTACTAAGATCTGTGCAAAGATGTATTCTATGGGAAATATCATTATCGAAGAAAAAGAATTTTCAGAGGTATATATTTTAATAAGTCATTTGTGGATGCTTTCAGATTTTAACATTTTTTCGTCATTCAAAAAGTTTATCAAAATTTTTTTTATATCAATTTTCTTTTTTATTTTTACTTTCTATCTATTTTGCATCTTAAAGATCTAATACAATTCTTTTAGAAAATTTAAATTTGTTAAATAATAATTAAACATGTTTAAATTTTTTTTCTTTCATAGAAAGATAATATAAAATATACAAGAATTATTTTCGATAAAAACTTTTCAATTGTTTTCCACAAATCTATTATTTCACTCTTACAAAATATCTTTTAATATAAGCATTTTTCCATTCCATAATAACGAAATATATATAAAATATATTAATATAAATATATATATAAAATAATAATAATTCAGGTATTACAAAAATTTGTGACTACTGAAAAATTTGTAATCAGTTCAATTTCATTTTGAATAGTATTAAAATCAATTTTTTATTTCATTTCACTTCCAAGCGAAAAATGATGAGGATCGTGTGGCCGACCCACGTACTGTTTAAATATGAAATAATAAGTTCACTTAGCGTCCAGGTTATCTCTTAATTGCATTTTTTATCACTTCCTTACTATCACCACGTTCTAGCCAACTTTCACGAGATTAACAGACCATTTTCGTCACGAATCGTTAAACTTAAATCGTTTCATACTTGTTGCGCTGGTCGCAAGCTTTTCTCGCATCCTATACAACCTGAGGATGCACCATTGACATGCAAATATACTTTCATTCCGCTATTAAACGAGATACGCCTTAGAAATTTATTTCGTTCGTGACAATAATTTTAAAACATTAAGCTTTTATACGATGTAATTTAATAAAGACAGAACTTTAATTGTAAATTTTAGTTAATGACGATATTGAAAATAGATATATCAATGAAATGATAGAAAGATTTCAAGAGAAATATTGTACTAATATTATTTACTCTTTAATATTAGTTAAAATTAAATAATAAATTTTATTATGCTTATTTTATTATATAATTCATAACTTTCTTAAACATCTGATATAACTTTCACTGTGTATTTTTTAGAGTTTATATATTGCGAATATCTTAAAGACATTGACGGTGTTTCTATATCTAAAATAATTTATAACATTTTGCTTTATTCTAATAATGTTTTTTTACTGATTTAATTAGGCTTTGTAAGGATATATATTGCATGTATATGCTATTTTAACAATATAATGATAATATGATTAGAAGAAAGTTGATCAAGTTAAACTTAAGTTAATTCTTTCTATTCTTTGAATTATTTTTGAATTTTTGAAGAAAGAAAATTATTCATGAAAAAGCAATTGAAGAATTTTATTATTTGAGAGAGTAATATTTTAATTAAATTTTTTAAAAGACACTTATTAATAATATTAATTATCTGTTATAATTATTTATCTTGAAAATACTTATTAAACACTTACATGTATTCATTATTTATCTATATCTATTTCACAATTCGTTTTTATAAAATACATTCATCATATATATATATATATATATTTCTGTATAAAATATTCTATATTATAATTCCTTGGATAATATCTGTATCGTAGAAAGCATACTCACAAAATAGCTTTTTCATTAGTTAATTCAAAGAAAGGTCGAATATATAAGGAAAATTTCCCTTACAATTATAGAAGATATCGTGCTAAGTAGTATTGGTCAACGATTAATTGGTTGGACACGATCGTTTACCAAGTGGTTTGTTCGTTGACACTATCGTTAAAGTGCATCCATTTTATAAATCACTTTGAAGTTCTGATGAGCCTGTGGTGGAGTGCGGTTCTCTTTAGAGCACTTGGTAAACGAACGATTGCAACAGCAATTTGTGGTTATTGGTTCTCTACTTTTTGCCGTAAATTTTACCATTTGCTATTTATATAACTCTACTTTTTTGCTTTCGTTCTCGCGTTTGATCATTGATCCTATGTCTTATAAACTTCTCTTTCACTTAATTATACAACGAATGATTTCTATCTTATTAGATATTTAATAATTTGAGGAAGTGAGTATGTCAATTTGGAAAATGTATCATATTGGAATAGAAATATTTAATTCTTTTGTTTTTGTAGTATAATTTAGATAATTATTTAGATTATTATCAAGATATCATTTTGCATGCAAAGAAATTATACAAATATTTTATATTTTCACATATCATGAGCAATAAAATATATATGTAAATAATAATTTCAATAATATATGAATATTTCAATTTTAACATAATATAATTCAATGTATTTGACAATAATTAAAATATCAACTGATAATAATATTAATTATCAAAGTAAACAAATGTGACAATCTTTAATTTTATAAAACAGTTAACAATTTAAATATTGAAATAAAACTAATAATATATTTCTTTTTTCCAGGATGAGAAGAATCAAATATTAACTACGAACGCGTGGCTCAAGTTGGTAAGTCATTAATTACATATTTACAAAGACCACAAAGGAAGCTTAAATCTTTTTTTTTTTTAATATACAAGATTATGCCAAATTTTTCGCAAGTAGTAAGTTAAAAAAAGATCTCAATATTAAGTTTCGTGCAATACTATCTCTCAAAATAAAATATATAAACATAAATAATACGTATAAGAATCGAATAACGATCTTTGAATTATTTAAATAATTTCCAATGGTTAAGAAACAATTTAACACAAGGAATGCATCGACCAGTAATGAATTCGCGATAAAAAATGAGAAATTTAAAATGCGCTCCTGGTATTACCTTCTTTTTTTCTCTTTTTCGTGACACCGCTTACAGGAAATCAATATACGGCAACTAATACTCGCCTGTCGGTTTCTCGCTATTCTCATTTCCATCGAAGTGATGTTAAAGAACGTAGCCTATCACCGAATTGATGCGGGAAAAAAGCGTTGAAATAAGTCAACTACTACTAATTACATTCGTGCACTCTTGTATTCTATTTTACAAAAGTAATTCATTTTATCTTCATTCATATAACGAATATATTTTTAGAATATATTTAATTTTTTTAATATATAAGTATTCAAAACTGTTTAATCCTTTTATGCTAATAATGGTATGAAATATTTCAGGAGAAATCGAAAGATATTAAAGTATTTAGAAACAGATAGTTTATTGTTACTTCACAGGTTTCATTTTTGATTTTTTTTCTATTGTTCTATTGCATACAGTTTGTATACATTAAGATGAATAATTAGCCATCATTATTCCAGGATTATTGCAAATTGAATTGTACCATTTTGTAGAAAATAGAAAACAAAATTAGTAGTTTTTTCAAGAATATCAACTTTTGATTAACTTTAATTATTTAATGCTAGAAATTTGTTCAGGGATATACAATAAAATTATCATTAACTTTATAAAATAGAACGTAGAAACGTGTATTTTTATGTAGTATAGACAGTTTAAAAACTATTTGTTGCATAAAAACAGAAACTTCACAAGAAAAATGGATATATAATTTATACAACAAAATATCGATGTGTTTTTGAATGAACTAATTGTTCATATTTGCTCTTTTTCTTTTTTCTCATTATTAATTCCAAAAAATTTCCGAAATTTTTTCCACGATAAATTACTTCTTCTCTCATATTGAGAAATAATTAACGTTCATCTTTCGTACGTATCTCGATTCATAATCACTCACGTGTAATTTCATACGACTACTATCAAGAAGATTCGATTGCCACGTCGAATTGAATTTTCAATTTTGTTAAAATATGAGTATATACGTAGAATCGTGGCAACGGAATATCATTTCCATTTTAATAGAATCACCGGTCGATGCACTCGATTTGGAATTTCTCCTTGTAATAGATAGCAAAAAAAAAAAAAAAAAAAGAGAGAGAAGAAAGAAAAAAAAGAAATGTTGTCGATTGATAGAATCGATTTTTCATTTACGTTGCATTCGTCAATCGATGAAGCGGAAACGCAGCTGCGGTTGTCAGTGTCAGTTCTTTTCCTATCGAATGGTTTTCTTGCTGTTTCTACTTAAGGAACGCCTATTGTATCGAAAATGTGGGAAAATGAAAGGTGCGTTCGGCTTCTTTACGATGATATTCCCTTGTTCAACGAAGAATATAAACTGGATTATCCTTAGCATTTCGGATGGAACATGAGATTATTCCATATCTTATTTTAGATTTCGATAAATGAAAAAAGAAACTGAAGAATTTTGAAATTAACTTTGATAGATATTAATTTATGAATAATTTTTTTAATTGATACAAATTTTGCTTAAATAGAAAAATATGATTTGCGAAGTAATCAAAGAAACGGAAATAAAACAATTTGTTAATAGATATTCCAAAATTCTATTTAAAATTGAATTGTTCAGTATCCTATGTTATTGTATATAAATATATCGTATTTTATCGTTTTAAAATTATATTTATTAATTATAAATCGGACATATAAAAGACTGCAAATATATATATATGGAAGATTCAAAAGTCAATCAATGAATCAAATTATTTGAAAATAATTTATTTAATTTAAAAATTTCTTTATTATTTAAACTTTGAGTTGACAAATCGATTAGCTAATTATTTCTATTATAATTTTTAACAATGATACAATTGATCTGTCAATTGAAAATTTGAATGATAAAAAGATTTTTGAACAACGTAAATCACTTTTAAAGTATAATTAAACTTAAACTGATTGATTTTTGAATTCCTTTGATTTCCTTTTTTATATTCATATTAATTAATAAAATTTTTTGATTATGCCTTAATCGCACAATTATTTCAAATAAATTATCAAAACTTTCAATTTTCACCATTTCATTCACAAAAAAAAAAAAGAAAATAAGTTACAATCTTCCATACAATAATATATCCACATCATAAATCAATCCGCAAAAAAAAAAAAAAAAGAAGTCAGAAAGGAAGATATCGATTTAAGGCAGGATAATGCCTACAATTCCATTCCATCCCGACATGACCAACAAATTTCCTCGTTTCCCTACGGGAAGGAACAATCCATCCCTCAACGATCCCTCAATGATCTATCAAATAAGATCGGCGAAATTGATCCCGCATGCTATTGAACGTTCGAATCGAAAGGAAACAGAAGAAGAACACATGGATCAGAGCCGATTCAAACCGGCTTCAGCCATCCTTTTCACGTTTCCTTTCCCGCGTGGCAGCTTCGTGCCTCCCTCGGGTGCGAAAGGGGATGTTGGAACAGGAGGTGGTTGGTGGCCACCAAGGGGATGGAAAGTAAGATAAAAGGCAGCTGGCAACCGTGCACGGCAAAGAGGATTCGAGAAAATCGAGAAAAAGAGAGAGAGAAGGAGAGTGGAACGATGCACTCTTACGTCTTTCTGCAACTGGATCGAGATGAAAAGCATGGACGTTGCTGCTACGAATAAAGAAATGGAAACGAAAGGCCCAGGGATGGTGACGTTTTGGCTTTTTTTCCTACTATACGCGAATTTATTCACACTCTATGCTCTACCCGAGTTTCATGAGTCTATAAGTTTCGTGTTTTCGTTTTATTTTAATCTCTCTGTCTTTTTCCAAAAACAATTGTATCATGTTTATTCGATGAATTGGTGAAGAATAAGATTGTTGTTAAATTAGAATTCACTTTTGTCTTTCGTACTATGTAAGATCAAATTTTCACGAGATTTAGGCACTTACGTATTTTCAAAATCATTACACCTTGAGAAAGCATTCTTATATCAATGATTTCATATAATGATTGGTTCACACCTTAAAGATATTTTTTACGAATTATTCTTTGTTATTTTGATTAAAGATTATCGATATCTTTTTTAAATTCTTTTCTAAATATTTTTCCTTTCGCATAATATCTTAAATAACTGTTAAGTCATTTCAATGCATAAATATGTACACATCATTGTACGTATTCAACATCCTACAATATTAAAAATAAAGTTATGTACAAGTATACTTTTAAATACAAAATTCAATATAGTTTAAGAAATAATAATTATTAAAGTAAATATTAACAATTTAGAACTAACAGTTATTTAATAAACAGTCAATTATAACAATTCCTTCGTGTTTACACTAAGAATTTAATCACGTCAAATTTCCATTCCTATATTTACATTTATAAAACAACATTTTCTCATTGACAAAATCGAAAAAATCGTACAAGCACAGCCATTTGATTGTTTATACTTCTCATCGTAAACTCCTCGCACGAATGGTTAACTCACAAACTTAAGCAAACTCCCATCTTATTCCGTTCCGCTCATTATTTTTATCGACTCCCTAAATCATGTTATCGTGTCGATATCATTCCACTTTCCGTTTTATAGCTATTTTATTGTTTCTCAAGAATTGATTTCGAGCAATAAGGATTTCCTTCCTTTCCTCGCCCAATTCGTCACATAATTTTTTATCCCCTTTCACTTCATCACCCTTTTCCTCCCCTCGAACTGGAGCCTGGAATTCGATTGTGTCGTCGCTCTTTTCGATTCGCTTTTTGTTCGCCTCTTCGTTCCGGGCAATCGAGGAGAAAATCTTCGAGGAGATACTTTCTCGAGGAGATGCCGACTATCGGTAGATTGTGTAAAAAGGAGTACTTTGCGCTGGATTAATTAGGTTGCAGATTTTCTTGCAGATCCTTTGAAACAGTCTATCCTATTCTTCTTCATTTGGAGACATTGATTTTATGTCCATTCGACGTCTAAGTAATGATAAAGAGTATCTAGTAGGTCTGTGAAATGGATGGATACAGATTGGATCTCAGATTTTTAAGAAAAGGATTTTAAAGAACAAATAATGTAGATATTTTAAAATGAATGGCGAAGTAAATTGGATATGATATACTATCTCAAGATATTATGTATATTTCGCAAAACGTCTTGTGAATGAAGTCAGATTTGATTGATTAACTCGGATAAATCGATCATAAAAAATCTAATTTCAGATCTAATATTACTTTTTAATTGTATTTTCGTGTTTCGATTACTTTTAAATTATATTATTTTAAATATAATTATAACAACTATTACATTGAAAGAAAAAATTAAAATTTTTTTCTTACACATTATCTTCACAATTCTCAAATATTATAAGCATCATTAGATAATTTTAGATAATTTTATCCTCAAAATAAAGTTTAGTTAGAGAAGATGATACAAATATCTTTTCATTTCATAATCAAAAGAATTTAGGGATATTGAAACAAAATTATTTAAAAATAAGATTTTTAATTTGTTATTCTTATGTATAATCACAATGTTAATATCAATAATCATCAGCCATATAACTTGTTATAAAATACAACAAATTTAATAATATATCTTGAATCTTTGATTCCTTTTAATTATCATTAAAATTAATTTTGAAATTCTTGGCTAATAACGAAGTTTTAGTTTCGAAGAATATTAATCCCTTGTGCAACACAGGTTGCTTTGAAGCAACCAATCAAAACTTTCTAATGTATT